CCCCTACTCTACAGCTTCTCTCAAGATAATACAACAGTTGTGTTAATTTAAACAACTAAAGGAAATAAAACTCAACATCATCATCTCTCGTTTTTTTTTTTAATTGTAAGTCGAAAACAAAAAGTGGACAGAAAAAAACTAAAACTGTAGGGGTGCAAACTACATAGGAACAGAATAATATTATCTTGTGTGGGTCGCATTTCCCAAGGATACATTGTATTTGGATATTTTTGTTTTTTGTGTATCCAGTTTTGTCTGCCGTTTATGGTCAGTGCTTTTTGTTCGGAACGTGTGAGTGTATGTATGTACATGGTCTGCATCACTGGTTCTGTTTGTTAATAATACATAGATTACAGATAAAATGCTACATCATGCTATAGAAAGTCTCTTATCTTAAGTCTTAGCGTGGGAAAAATAATTTTCCTATTATGTCAGGTTACTATTGTGAGGATGTTTTTAGAATAATGGCCGTACTCGCCGCGGTGATAACACAGCAACTGAATTAATTTTTCGAGAGGATATGGCAAGTACGGTGAAAGTAATATTTTCCATTGTTACCCCGCGTTAGGATCGATGGAGCTTTTACCGCAAATTAAGATAAGAGATAATTATGCAGTTTACTGTGTTCCATTACTGTCGTTGGAGAACAAGTTCCACAATTTTGGTAGTATGTGTGTATATATATACATGTGTATGTACACATACAAACTCACACATTACCCAGATCAGGAAAAGCAAAACAAAAGTGTTAATAATGATATAACTTTTTGTCACAAAATTTTCAAAAAGAGATATGTGAATGTTGGTTGAAATGCGTAATTTGTTACACACGAAAACTTTTGAAGTGCAAGGTCCCTCCCTAGTGATTGTTTGGCGTTTATTGGATAGTAAATAACGTTGAAAATAAGAGGGGCAAGTATTTGAGAAGTTACTTATTGCAATTATATTACAGCCCTTTAAATAGCTTTTTTTTGTTGTTAAGGGAGTACACGTCCAAAATCGAATCAAGACGTAATTCTCTCATTGTGAGTTTTCTTGAATTTTTTGTAGTTAAAAACGACAATAATATGCGCCTTGCTACAGTAGAAAAATAAAACATATGTGAAGAAAGTTTTGAGACTGGCGTTTTTGTAGGGCCGAGCGCATCCCATTGGTTAGCATGCTTGACTGTGGATCCAAGGTTCCTTGGTTCGCGCCACGTTACCGCCAAAAAATCTATAAAAAAAATTGCGCACCACAGTTTGACGTCAAAATCCCACTATTCGACTAGAATAGCCTACGAGTTCGCGGTAAATGTGTTGTCAAGCTGCTTTCCCTTTAGCCTATCACTTGAAGAGTAGGAACGGCAAGGGCAGATCGTCTTCGAGTTTGCGCGAAATTCAACAAACAACAATTAACGACTTTTGTAAGATTGCGGTATTGAATTTATAAAACATTAAATTTGGAAGTATTTATTTTTGATCATAATATGTTGTTTGTTTTTGTTCACGTGCAATTTCACTGTAGTAATAAATTATTGCTACATGTTTTGTTTGTTGACTTTGCTGGTCTAGTTACACACGCATTTGCTGGTCTAGTTACACACACATACACATGATTCTATCCACTCTGATTAATGAAGCTAAAACTTAACTCGCTGCCAAAATATTCGCGATTTGTTCACTTGATTTAGGGATATTTTCTCTGATGAACGAAAACTGACAGTTTAGTTATAGGTATCTTGGGCTTTGTGGTGTAAGGTTTACTCGTCCGGAAACGACAAGGTTAGAAATTCTTAATTACTTATAGATCGTGATTCTCTTGGTTGATAATTAGAATACATTTCTTGTTTTTAAAAATTTTTTAAAGATCTTACAAAACTCTTGTTGAGAAGTTATTGTGATACCTTAGGGTTTGAACGAGTAAGTCGGGCCAAAAACTGTATTGGAAATGCCACCTTCGTTAACAAAATATTCATGTATTTTGCTCAATGATTTAAAGTTGGTAACATGTTGTATTCGTTTGACATGTAAATTTGTGTTTTATATGGTTTATTAATGTATATAGTTGCTATCAATTACTGTGAACAGGGGTGTGCTAATATCCAATTGTATCATTTTGAAATAATAAAATCTTAAGCCACCATAACGAATTCATAAATTCCATTTGATAGGGTCAAGCGTGGTTAGGTGTTAGCGTTCGTGGACTGTGAATCCAAGAGTACCTGTTTCACGGTTAGTTGTCGTAAAAATGCGCTCGAGACTCATTCAAGACTACTTCGAATTCCGTGTTTAATCAATTACGTGATTGATTAAAACCATAGCTGTTTGCTACACGCGCTGTGTGCTGGAGTTTTTCTTGTCAGCTGACATGTTATACGTAGGTCAACTGGTTCTCAAACGGCGCGTTCCATTACTCTTGTGCAGTACAGTCTCGATACCATAAATCAGCCAATATACAAAGATTAAACGTTAAAAAGTTTCTTGCATTCTTCTTCTTGTGGGTTTTGTTCAGGATAAGTTCAATTTAAAGCATTGAAAAACGGGTACTTGTGTTCCATTGAAGCATCTCATAAAAAAAAGTATTATACAAAGACGTTGAATTACACATTTTGAAGAATTTTTTTCGAGAATTTAAATATATAAAACGAATATAGGAAACTTTCACGTTTTTCATCTCAAAATTTAAAAATAAATTGTGAATCAAAATTGTCAGTGTAAAATCCCACTTAAAAAATGCAATTAGACCAACAATATAGTAGATTGGGTATTTTCAACATCATTGATTAAGGTGTGAGGGTGAAGCACCATATAATTTACAGTAACTATGAGACATGACTTTACTATATCAAACAATCCTACTATAATTTGAGAGAAGTTTGTACCTGTCAAATATGGTTTAATCAACTAGGAATGATTCAGGATGTGTCAAGTAGTTTTCTTTTAAAATACATAGATTTCATACATCCAGTGCTGGCTAAATACAGATGTCAGTGGGGAGGCCACTAGGAATATTGATGAGATTTCTCCAGTTTTCTCTTTCATTACACAGAGTCTACATACAGTCTATGTACTTTCAATCATTACTGGCATATTTAGGAGAAAAACATAAACACAATTTATTTTCATAACTGGTAAAATATAAATTTTACAATCGCATTTCATTTTCAGATCCCATTAATCATTTGAGGAATTTCTTTTTCATACATTGTTTATACATACTTTCAAGATAGACAGGAATATTAAGTGAGATGTTTTTAAGTCACGTGTTACTTATTGCCTTTTGATATAAAAACAAAACAAGAACTAACACTTGAAATGAAATGTTACTTAAATAATTAAGCCCAGTGAGCATTAATAATTTTATTCTTACGTACTTCCAATCTTTGTATTGCCACTGGCATGTTTTGGAAATTATTTTCATAAATCTCTCGCTGTGCATCACACGGGTACATCTGTTAGTCTGTTGTAAAGAAGCATTAAATACTTAGAATAATACAAGTTGCTTTACTTTATCATGACTGCAACAATACATGCAATTACAATGTCATAGCTGTAGCAGAGTAACACTGCGTAAAATAACACAACTTGTATAATGATGAGTAAACTGGAAAGGAAGGCAACTGCCTGCTGTAAAAACACAAATATAGAGGGCGACATTTCGAAAATCTCTCGTCTTCAGGTCAGTGTATGTATAATATTATCACAACTGTACATAGGATAACAAAACCTGCAGTTACATTATCATGACTGTACACTACATAGAGTAGCACACCTACTAGTTACAGTTGTGGTATGTAGATATTACAAATCTTATTCTCTGCTACTATATGTCTATAACATGGTAAAAACATTTTTAAATTTTGCAAGATTTCTCATTCTGAATTGGGTAAATCTGAACAAGGATTCACTAATTCAACCTTAGAATTAGATGCTATTCTCTATGGCATATATCCTACATCACTCTGGGTGTGAGGCTAGTCTTCAGGCCTATCAGTTTGAGCATAAATACTTCCAGATTGTTTCAATCTAATTTGTGATTGGTCAGCTATAGAGAAAATGTGATTTTCGTATAGTTTTATCTCAGCATTGAGAGAGTCAAGACTGACATGTGCTGTGCTGTATCTTCTGTCCATTGTTTATTTTTTGCTAAATGAACTATTATTTTGATTTAATCTTTTCTGTAATCATAAATAAAATGTGATTATTTTTGTGTAGGTTAGTCTGGACTCTTTCATTTTGCCAACAGTAATTCAGTTATATTTTCTTTCATAAATAAGACCTTCAAGCCTTTTGTTACAGGGGTGGTCAAATACCCTTGTTTTCTATATTCCAAGTTCCAGAATACCCTGTACGCATAGTAATTCAACTGCATAGTAATTCAACCTGTAATAACAGGAACAGAACCGTAACACTAGTAATTTAACATGTGATTACAGTATCACAACTGTACACAGTAATGTAAACTGTAATTATGTATCACAACTATACAAATAGTAACTTGTGATTACAGTAACACACCTGGTAATTACAGTGCCACACCTGTAGGTAGATTAACACAACCTGTGCAGATTGCAATGTTTGTTTAATAACTGATTCATTTGACAGGATGAGAGATAAATTGCAGCCTGAGTTTCCAAATGTATAGTTAATTTTTGTACATTGATACCAAAATGGAATTATTAAAACAAACTTGATATTTTATGTACAGAAAGATTTGGAGATATTTATTAACACACACCTATAATGTGATTATCATTCATTATGATCCTATATTTATGTCTAAACATAAAGAAAAGTGATTTTTTTTATATAAAGAAGTATCCTTTAAACTTATTATGATTTTTATTATACTTTTATGAGTTTTAAAATATTCTTAACAGGCCCATTACACATTGCTAGTGGGATAATTGCATTAGGATATTTTAACCATAATAGGTTATTCTGATTTTCATAGCTTATCCTTCTATAAAATATATTGTTGGCTTGATCATTTTGTCTTTTCTCTTTCTTTTTTTTCAGGCTGATTTGACACGCCCTATAGAAAGAATTAGTCAAAGCGTTGAATTGTTACTTCACCAGACTGTTATCTCCTTACTCCTTCAACCTAGTGGTGATGAGCAGAATGGTCAAGCTCAAAAATTACTACTTAACTGGGCAAACTATCAAAAACTGTGTCAGACTAGAGCAACCATTGTAAATGAAGAGGAAGTGAAACTGCTTAAGCAAAAAATAGTTGTTCTTAAAACACTAATTCAAGACCTTGAAAAATGCGGAGTTAGTAGAGAAGGTGTGTTGTAAAAAGCTGTCCAAAAATGCATATCTTATGAGAGTTTCTTCACCAGAATGTTTTGTACAGAAAATATTTAAAGTAAATATTGTAGTTTAACAGAAATTTGTATTACAAAAAAATTGGGGGGGGGGGTAGAAAAATTTTTTTGGTTTTTGTTTTTTTCCTATGAAAAAAGCAGATATTATGTACCAACATTTTTAAAAATATTATGTCATAAAATGAAAGACAGTTTACAAAATTCAAAGAATTTTGAATTTCAGGTAGCTCTTGTGATGTTTTTATTTTTATATTTTACCACTAGTTGCTATTCTGTAAACTAGTCATATTTACAAACAAATACTCAGATTAGAATTATGTCCTGTCTTTTGACACGAAACTAACTTTTCTTGGTGAAATTATTTATTATTTACTCTTAACTCATGAGTAACTATTTTGAAATTAACCAAAACAAACTCTTGAAGTCTTGTTTTTTGCACTTAGTGGATGGGGTGATAATTTTATAAACAAAATTTATTCCAGAGGAACAAAAAAACATGATCACTATGTCAGAGTTGATAAAATGTTTAGAGATAAAGCTCAACTAGTAGTCTTAAAATGTTATAAGTATCCATTCTCACATACAAAATCAAAACATTCTCAGTGGCGTTTCTCTTCTTAAGTGAACAGATAACATTTCCTGATAACTGTTTTTACACCATATGATGAATAGTTCAGTTTTAGTTATTATCAGATTTAGATGATACTTTGTTTATCATGTCTATCCATTCCAAAGCAAAATGAATAATAACTTAAAACCACTTCCTTGCTTATTTTAAGATGGTTCATAAAAGTCTTATCTTGTATACATTTATGTAAGTAATTTCTTACTTGTCCTTAGAATTACTGAACCATTTATGCACCATATTGCCTGGGAGTCATAGGGTCCCTAATACCATAAGAGTCATATACAAAATACTGTTAGTATTGTAATTAATCTCATGTTTCATTTTGGGTTTCTTATTTTTGTTACATAGAAAATGGTTGATTTTGCCCAATTGTTTTGGTCAGTTCTTTACACTTGAACACAAGAACATAAAATTACTGAATATGATGATGCAATATGTGTACCCCACCAATGGTAAATCTTATATAAATGGCTTGATAATTTGAGGGTTAAGAGCAAATTGGAATGTATCACCATAGAAGCTTTCCCAAATCTGAATATATTGAAATCATAATAGTCTATTTCTGTATTATAATTGGTATTTATGGGAAAAAATCAATAATTCTTCACTAGAGGCTCTGATTTCGAAATGCATTAATTTACAAATCAGCATGTCTTTTCAAATCTTCTAAGAGCTATGCTCCATAAGTTGCTTAATAGGTTCTTAGCACTGAACTTACCACCAGAAATCATTTACACTAGATGGGGATCCATATATCTATTAAAAGGTTCTTTCTAACACTGAAATTTGACAAATGAGTTTATATCCCAACATATTAAATGCAACTAACTCCCTGTATTCACCATGATACATGTTAGGAACATGTACTGCATACTTTTGCAAGCCACTATGTGTGCAAGAATATGTATTTTATTGCTTACAAATGTATTATTCAAAAACAACATAACTAAATGCAGTTATGCTTGTGGTATTTGCAATCCATAAAGGACTAACTAAAAGGATCATGGCAAAAAAACACATCTGCAATCAGTTACTTTGTTAGGTCTAAAAGGAATATTTCCTAGTGTTTTACTGGGGAGCATCATACGAAGACATATTTTAAGTTAATGTATCTGACTGCTAGTTAAATGAGATATTTATTTCCACAGTATAAATTGTTGATAATATCCTTGTAGTAAAATATTTGCCAATTTAGGAAGCACACGGGAGCTTATTTTGGAATTTGCTGATACTGAACAACAAGTAAGAATTTTAAGGAACATGCAATTCATATTTTAATTTTGATTAAAATATAAAATGAAATTTTACTTTTTTTATTCTCATAGAACTGCAAGTTTTGGTAAAAAAACTCACAGAGTTGGAGAAAACCCTTGTCACACAAGGAGTGGTATCCAGTGGAGGAAAGTTTGAATGGGTGGATAGCATCCTAGTGTCAGCTCTGAAGAATGGTTATTGGCTGCTCATTGATGATGTAAACTTTTGTAGGTGTGTTAAACCTTACAAAATATCAGTTATGTTTAGGAAAACATTAAATACTTGCTGTAAACTTTTGTAGGTCTTATAAAACCTTACATGATATCAGTTACATTTAGTAAAACATTAATTACTTGCTGCAAATTACAGGATCCATTTTTATACAGTTTAATGTATTCTATAAAAAATGGATGTAGTCTGCTACAATAAAGGTATTTCTGTAGGTATAAAACCTTTGTTTCCTAACTTTTTGGTTTTAAAGCTTCTAGTTATAGATATCTTAAGGAAAGAGCTGTGTTATTCTATTATTGTAAAAAAGATTTTTTACAGACAAGCTAACACAACTTCTTGCATTGTTTAAACCTTATGTGTTTCTGATTTTTTTTATTAGTTTTAGCAAATGAATAATAACTTCACATGGATGTTACAATCTGATTTATTATTACTCAATTGTGTATCAAATTTTGTGCAAAAAATATTCATTTAGGCTTATTTGACAAAACCTATTGACTTAACATTTTCTAGCCTCATGGTTTTCTCAAGAATGTTCAGCTATGTCATAATAGAACCTGTTAGCTTATATTTTTATGGTTATTGACAATATTATAGATAGGAGAATTGGCATAAATCAAAATTTCATGCCCACAAATTATTGTTTACAGGTATAATCTAATATTATTTGTATTGAAATAGAGTACTTAGTCCTCATGTATAGTTTATATTTATCAAGTGATCTCTTCTTTTAGTCCTTCTGTTTTGGACAGACTGAATGGCTTATTAGAGCCTGAGGGAGTACTGATAATGAGTGAACAGGGAGTAGTAGGAGATCAAGTCCCAGTCATTACGCCACACCCAGACTTTAGGTAATTTTTTTGTCAAATGTAATGCAAAAAAACATCTTTTAACATAAGTCATACATATTCTTATTAATATAACTCAGCAATACATTTACAATATATGTAAAGTACACACTTATCAAGTCAAATCATGTTTATATCTAAAATAACATTCTTGTGTTACTATTTGTATGTTGCCAGAGATCGATTAGGTATTGGTTTTGACCAGTTTTGTTACAGGTAATGTCATTTGGTTTTAATATTTGATTTTAATACTATATTGATTTTTACAGAATAATTTTGTCTATGGACCCGAAGAATGGTGAAATTTCAAGAGCCATGAGAAACAGAGGAGTTGAAATATACATGTTAGGAGAGGTGAGTAATATACCCAACCTACACATTAATGTCAGACTATTTTAATAACATATACCATGTTCATAGATGAGTCTATATATGTATAAATGAATGTGTGTGTGTATTAAGATTTTTCCAAAAATTTTCTACCTCGAAATACTGACGAAGCATAACCAAGTAAACCAATTTTTGTAGATCTTATACACTTAAAGTTTCTACTTTAGCATGAAGGAATGAAAAATTCATTGATTTACATAGTATTTTATAGTTTCAAAAAAGTGCATGAGAGAAAATTAGCCTGAAACTGGTATTGCTTATAATGAAGTTTGTATGATATACATAATGTCACTCAGTTATTCTGGAATGCTACAATTCATACAAGTTTTCTTTGATATTCATTATTTAATTTGTCATTAGTTGAAGCTGTTTTAAAATTACAATCGTTACTTTTTTATGCTGAAATCTCACTAGTTTATTAGTCAGTTATTTTGAATACTGGTATTTTATCAATGATATAATCATTAGTGTTTCATAAAAGTACAGATTTATTACTTTATAAATATGATATAAAAATAATCAGATTGTGATTTTATGAGAAGATTAATCTGAGCTTACCATTTTATTCTCATGTTTTTGCACTAAACTGTCAGTATTAAATACATAATAATTGAGGTTTTATCTTTTTTATTTACCTGTTATTTTTAAAACCAGGTATTACAGTGTTACATAGGTGATGCAAATTAAAACTAATTATTGATACTCAGGACAACTAACAAGAAGCATTTTGTACATGAATTGATTTATGTTCTTTGGTTGTTTTTAGAAAAAAATAAAAATAATAATTTGATGAAGCTTAATCTAAAGATTTTTGTAAACCAAAAATAGCAAAATCTATTTTAATTTTCTAAATTTCAGGAAGAAGGTGGTGGCCCTGATTCCTGGGACATGAAAGTTTTGCTGAAAAGTGTTGGATTAACAAACTCTCAGTTACAAACACATCTTATTATTATTCACCAAAGTATCGTTGATAGGCAAAAAGGTAAATCCTAAGTTTAAATGCATCATTTAAGTTTTTTTCAAATTTGGTCTTATTATTTTATGCAACTCATCTATAAAATATTATTATTATAACTGAACTTGTTCAGATTTAGAATTTGTTTTGGTATATATTTTATTAATATTTGGATAAAGTAATAAAAAAAGAACTAAACTGCTAACCCTAATTTACATTTTTGCACCCCTTATTGTAATTTTTATTTTGTGATTAGAAATGTGAAACTTCCCACTGTATAAATAAAACTTGTCAACAGATGAAACAAAGTTACAAATCAATGTCTTTGTACATGCTTGTTACATATTTCTAACTCGTATAATTTGAAATTGGTGGTCTCAAAAACTGTAAGGTTCAGCTCACTGCATTTTTAAGTTTACAGTTTGTTTCAAAATCAATGATACATAAATAAAAGTGTGTGATTATTTTATTCCTTGCAATTTATTTGCAGCAGAACTCCATTTTTCACTTGTATGGAATGTAAATTTCTAAATCTTTAGTTCTGGTGTCAAAAATGTAGAGACAATTTAATATCAATTTCTTTAACAGTAATCTCAGGCCTCAGCTTGTGAATGAGCAAATTCTCTTTTATATGAAGATTTTGTTCATCATTGCCCTCTCTAAGATCTTGAAGAAATTTAATTAGACAAAAATGATACATTCTCTTAGGGCATGTTCAACTAAACTTGATTCAACAGAGGATCTTAAGTTAGCATGTTCTTTCACTTGTGTTATATAATTTTTCTTCTAATAGAACTGATGTAGAGCTTTGAATGTTTTGTGTTATTATGCCATATTTTGTGAAGTAGATGAATCTTTCTCGTCTCAAAGACCTTTTAATTTAACCTTTGCATAAGTAATATTGATATGTAGCAGTTTACTGAATATTAATATATACCTTTTGTTGTAGGATTTGAGAGACCAACACTCCTTGATCTTCTACAGTCAGCTGTTTTGTGTGGTCAGCATATTCAGAGAGGAATTGACCCATGGTCAGCTTTGCAAGAAGCTTGTGAAAGTGTATATGTGAAAGGTCGATTAAAGCATACTGTCAGACAGGTACTTTATTTATATATTTGCTATTTCTCAAATTGTATACTGGACTTGACAAAATAACTTTATATCCCAAATTTCAAGTGTCTTCCTCCCAATTAAGTGTTCTTCCCCCCCCCAAAAGAAAAGTAGAAGATTAAAAAATCCATTGATTGATATCAATACTGTATTATTCATTAGTAATTAAAGTAAAGGGCTGAGCATGACCTAGTGGCTAGCTTGCCTGACTGTGGAGCTGAGGCCACATGGTTTGTGTTCAGTTACTGGTTCACTCATTTTAGAATTTAATTTGCATTCAGCCAGACTTTGGGACCATATATGCATTATAAGAGTGACAGTCAAATCCCACTGTTTGGCATGAAAAGAGTCAGCTATTTGTCTTCCTTTGAGACTGTCACTTCCAAATTATGTATTTATAGGGAAAACAGTCCTTGTATAGGTTTTGATTACTTAAATTCCAACAGACAAACAAATTAGAAAAAGTCTGATGTCCATAATCTGGTCTTCTCTTGAATACGTTTAGCCATGGCAGTGTGTTGTGGCCAATCCTGTATTGCATTGGCCTCCATACAGTGCTTATGGTCTCCTATGCCTTAATGAATCAGAATAATCTGTCAAAAAACATTCTAAGAAAAGCTAGAGATTTCTACAAAGACATTCACATCAGTTCAGTTAAAGAATGATGTTTCATTTTATCATTAGTAAGAAAGACTGCCAAAAATAGCTGGAATTTGATTTCCTTCCTTCAGAATTTCTTTTAACTGTACCATAAATAAGTTCAAATATTCATTATTATTATTATACTTGGGCTTTTTCTGTTTTTTTGGGGGGTAGGTGGAAGTAACAACAAAATATAATGCTTATTTTCTTATGGCTTCATTTCATCTTTTGAATTTTGGTATTATGAACCATGATAGTGTTCCATAATAGGGATTGCACAGGAATTTTCTCAAAACTCTTATAGGACATTCTGACACAAACCACCTTAAAAAGCAGACTTATTATTGAAACGATGCTCAAAACCTTCCTTTTCAATAGTTAAAACCACCCAAACATTTATAATAAGCAAAATAAGTGATTTCACGATTCTTAAACAAAATCAAAACTTGCTCTTTTGTTCATATTATTATTATTATTATTAGTAATAATATTAATATTATTGTTTCATAAGTCTGCTGCAAAATAGAGTAAGGTGTTGGATGATCTTATCAGGAATATCATTTTACTATTTACTCCTCCCCACAAAATTCAAATCCTTCAGGGTTAATGGAACTGAAACTTAATAGAGATGGCTAGTCTTTTGACATTATACATACACATGTTTACAAGGAATGAGATAACAAGTTATTTGTATGTTTAATCTGCAGATTTTTCTCTGTGTGAGATAGGGTTTTAGGCATTTAATAAAATCAGTGTACAATTCCATGCATTGTTACAATCCATTTGTGTATGTATGTTAATGGAAATAATTAAGAAAACGTGAATGATACACATACAGGAGTTGCAAACAATGTTAAAGGCAACTAGATATGAGCTTATTGATGTTACAAAACAGTATCAAAAAATATATATAGAAAAGCAACTAAGTTGTACAATGCATTATTATTTTGTATGTGACCCCTTTGTTTCATGCAAAGTATTACATCTTGTTCACAAAATGCCATACATTTATCTATTTATGACTACAAAATCTTGTTCCAAATGTCCTGTATTACTCTCCACAATTCAGCCATGTTGTTTTATTGACCTTTCCATTTTTACATAAGTCCGTACAGCCTCATACTTGCAACTGTTGCAAGTGTTCCATCAAACTTTTTACTGTCAAAATATCATTTCAGTGCATTTGCTGTATGCTTTGAATCGTAGTTTTGGTAGAAGACTGTGTGGATTACTGATATTGTAGATGTTGTATATTGCTTATGATACTGTTATTTTTTTTTGCTATCAAGCAGTCATTAATTGTTTCCAAACAACTCAAATTTGAATTCTTCTATAAGAAACACATGTTTTCAACTTTACTCATTCCACTCCTTATGATCTGATGTCTGGTTCAATCATTTTGTTTACTTACCTCTCCTCAGCAGTGGTTTTTCAAGCAGCTACACATCCATTGAGACCACTTCATGCTAACATGTGTCTTATTGTTCTCATGAGTTATTCATTCCTGTATTTACAACAGGATCATTAGTAAGATCTGTACTTGACTATTGTCCATCTCATAAAGAACATATTCTGAGAGGCTAGCATCTCTTTTGTAGAGTTTACGTTTTCTACCTCATCAACTTCAGGTATTAACTGTATCAGTTCCACATACCATCTCCAGAGTCTAGCATACAGCTCCTACTGAGACGTGGTATAAGTGCAATTTTTTGCATGAGTATCCTTGACAAACCAAAACTTTAATTCCTACATGTGTGCTATGTGTGTATTCAATCCTGGGATCCATAACTTGATCACACTACTGCTGTTACTGGGCATAGTACTTTTAAAGGCTATATACTGGTGTGGCCTTTTCTGATTTATTGGATGACAATTATTCACAGTTTAAACTATCAACACATGACTACTGCAGTTTGTCTTCACACAATAAAGAGGTGGCATTCCAGTAGTATTTACTTTTTATACTGTTTACATTACCATTTCTGTTACTGTATATGTGATTCAATCCTTACCCCATGTAAGAAACAAAGAATTCCATACATATAAGACAGACATCTTATACCATGGCAAAGATTGAAAGGAATAACATGCCTGTTTGTGTGAGGCTCTCTTTTTTTTTATCTTATTGCTGGTTGTATATGTATGTATATAATTAGATGTTAAATATTCCATTATTTGTTTAAGTTAAAATTGTTCAATAATTTCAGTGTTTGACAGAGAATATTTATTGAGGATGAAATTAATGTTCTGTAGTTAAATTTGTATCTTATAAAGGGTATTTGTTTAGATTAATATTGGTATTCTATAATTCTACTTCTGTTTTATAGAATTAATGTGTAGAGGTTAACTTGGTGTTGTATTATTTAAATACTGTTTTATGGAAGGGATTTATTAAAGTTAAAATTGATATTATGTGATTCAGTTGCTGTTTTATCAGAGGTATTAATTTAGGTTAGCTGTGGTATTGCATAATTCAAATGACTTTTTGCAGAAAGTATTTGGGTTAAATATTCCAGTGATTGCTTCTGTTTTTATAGCAAGCAACGATTATTATCAAAGACTATATAGAGAGCCATTCAACTCACAGCTTCAACACCATACTTCCTGTTGAGTCAAACCACGCCATCACTACCATACTCCCTGTTCAGTCAGGTTGTTATGACAGCTGCTTTGCAAATATACAAAAAGAAGGAAGTTTTTTGGTGTACAGCTTAGAAGAGCTTGCTGAATCCAATTCAAGGTGTTTTACATATGTATTATTCATATTTAACCTCTAAATATTCTGAAATTTGTATTAAAAATATTGTTTAGTTTCCCCAAATATAACAATACACAAGCAGTTACCTATCATTTTAATGTATGTTAAAAAATCAGATTTAGAATATGTATAACTTTTCTCAAAGTTTATAAGTGCTACAAAATGTTTTATAAAATTTGAATCACTCATTAAAAAAATAGATATAATTCATGATTGTCAAAACCTTGTGTGTGTTCTGCACTGTTGTTCTTGTTTTTTAGCATGCCACAACCTAGTTTTTCAAACTTGTATATACATTTACAGACTTCAGTTTACCTTTATTTTTAAAGATTCACAAATAAAGAAAATTTAACAATAATGAAGCAAAAATTAGGGTAGTGTTTTATTGGTACAGTGTTTAAAATATCTTCAAAAAATAAGGTGTAATAAGGAATTCTGTGTAAGTAAATATAATTTTCATTGCCTTTTTATCAACTGTACACGTTTTTAAAATAAAACCAATTATAGTGAATTAGTGTAAAGTGTAATACTCTTTCTTGAAGCTTTCTAGATGCTCCAAAAAGTGTCACAGAACTGAGTTATCCAGTAGAAGATAATGATGACTGGCAAGCAGTTCTTTCAGTGGGAACCTTAATTTTCTTGGAAACAGCCTCTGCAGAAGACTGGAAACTCCGTCACAAGTGGTTAAACCATTTACTAACATCAATGTGTACTAAGAATTTAAGAGAAAAGCATGAATTGCTGAGTCAGTTGATGGACTTAAATCAACATTTAATAAATACCTTTATGTCACCCATTGTGGAGCAGCTTTCACATGTAAACAGGGAATTTGTTTGTGTGGCAGGTATGATGTAAAATGTTTCTATTTACTTTTCATAAGCTCAAATATTAGAAATTAATAAATAACAACTTAGTCTTAAATCAATTTATGATTAACACTTATAATTACTGATTAGATTAGATCACATCATAATCCAATGTCTTACTGGTGCACCAGGTAAATATTATAGTTAAAACCAAAAATTACATTCTGTGGTGTGCTTCAACACAGATGATTAAATATACTTAAGGTAACTTACAACACCAGTTCCTTCAATATTGCAATGTTAGTGCAACATGCATTGTTACTGTAATTGTATTTAATCATCCATGTTGATGCACAACACTATGAGGATGCTGAGGAAGACACTAGTGTGGTTGAAATGTAAAGCAGAATTCTGACCATAATATTTATTTTATGAATTAATAAGTTCAATTGATTAGGCTAGCTATATTTGCATACTTAACATTCACTATTTTGGGAGCTTATTGACATAGATATTCTGGATTTTAGCATTTCTTTAGACCTGAGTTTTGTAAGTTAACTATAATCATCATAGTTTTGTTACTGTATCTGTGTAATGACAATATATTTTTGAAATAACTAATATGAGCTAAGATAATGGTTATAAATGACAAACTATATTCTCAAAATTTGGTGTTAAAGTACTGATTGTTAGCTGATGACTTTTACAAAAAATTTTGGTTATTTCACAATAGGAAGAACAGATTCCAAAAACTTTTGCAGAAACTTTAGTTTTGAATTATAGCTGGTAACTTAGAAACTGCAACAGGTTACACCTTTTTTTTTCTGTATAAAGGCAAACCATTTTGAAACTAAAAGTTGGATAAAACCAATTTAATAGCACTGCTGTACATTGCATTAGGTAAAAAATATAAGTTTAATAAACCTGGCATGCAAATAATATATATGTATATATATGTGTGAGAGAAGACGTGCATATGTGACATGGACATCATAATTTTATGATTTGGTATATACTTTTGAAAAAATAACCGATAAGGCAGTTTTAAATTTTTAATTTGTATTCTAAAATGTTGTAAAACTTGCATTGTTTTTTCTCTGTTTTCTTCATTCTTTGTTGTTGAATATTAATTTTGATGATGTATATTTTTGTTCAAGATAAATCTATAAGAAATTCAGTAGAGCAGCTGCCACTTGACTTGAGACATTGTCCTTCACTCCTAAAGAAACTGCAAGGCCCAATTGGCTGGTTCTGCCCTAAGTCACATTTCCAACATCTAGAATTACTGTGTACATCAGCAGCAAATAGGTGAGTTTCAGAATAATCTAAACATGGATTTATTTTCTTTTTTTGTAATGAGCCCTATCTTGTGATTTACTTTATACAAATGAACTTTCATAAGAAGACAAAATTAAGAAGTAATTTAATAAAAATGGGTTTATGCCATATTGATATTTTGCATCTAGTTTTATTTATGTGATGTAGCTTTTGACACTTCAATAGATATATAAGGTTTAGTGAAGAAGAGCACTATATATGTTTAAAAAATGGAAAACAATAATTCTAAATATGTCTAGAATAACTAAAATTATATTTTGAAACAATGCTATGGAATAAAACTAAAACTGATTACATATATCAGAATACAAGGAAATTTCAGGTGAAAATAGAGAAAACAAATTAATAAATGGATAAAAATCATAATTAAAAAATAAAAGTACATTAACATATGATAAATAAGAATGATTTAAAGATTGTTTTGATAAGCATGTATTTGAAGGGTCAGTTGTTCTGCTTTATTTTAGATTATTTATAAAAAATCCAAAACATACATTTTGCTATTTTGCACACTAATATTTCATTTCTCTGTAGGTTTTCACTTCTTATGTGCTTCTATGGCAACAACACCAGAAAATACATACCCACAAAGATGGGTTTCTCATCTTTGTTTGAGGTATCACAAGCTGTTAGAGAAGGACACCTGTCAGTGGATACAGTGCCTCATCCTGTCTTGTGTCATCTTGTTCCGTTTATTTCTCTGTTCTCTGAGAATGTTGAAAACTTCCTTAAATACAGTAGTCAGTCATGTAGTAACAGTGATTTCTGGAGGGTAATAAATACTAATTTGTGTACTGCAAATATTTCTACTAAAATTAAACATTTTTTGACACTGTTTTTGCAATGAAGTATTTGTAGTTTGGTGTTAAAAATTAAGACTTCAAAAACAATTTAAAATATATAATTTTGTAAGACAAAATGAGATAAAAAGTAAATCATGTTTATAGAGTTGTTCATAGGTATTGTAGTGATTGCCAGTTTTAAAACTTAATCTGAAAATTCTATAATTTATGAAATTTCTTATAATTGATAGCATGGGATTGAAATGTGATTAACTTCCATAAAATATTATGATAATGTGAAATTGACTTGAGATTCAAATGTCTATAAGATATACAAGTTTTGACTATCCGGCTTTACTTTTGATACAGTTTTGGTACATGTAGATTGTACTTCTATTTTTATAATATTTTACAAACTGATATGTGTTTATTGTATTTTTAATATCATTTGCTCACTGATGAGGTTCAGATGGTGAGCAACAAAAGTAATACCAATAAATTCTTCAGTAGCATTAGCAGGAATTCATTCACTAGGAGGTATTTTTTTTACCAACTTTTAGTGGAGGAAATGATTTGCTGATTTTGTTCTTTTTCAGTGGAAAGAAGGCCTTCTTTTGTTTGACCACTTTTGCCGTCTTTGTCAAGAACATTACAAGCCAAAGATGCTATGTGTTCAACTGTCCCTTTTAGCTTTGCATTGGCACTGGATGAAAAAGAAAATTCTTCCATTATTTACTGTGACTGATCAGGCAAACAACAGGTAAATATTTGTTAATTAATAGTAGAAAGAGCAATAATTATAAGTTAACTAACAACAGATGCTTTGTTATAATACTTTAAGCAGGATCTATGATATTCAGATATTTTTTATCACTGATAGAAACTTGTGGTAAAAATATGGACAAAATAGACTGAGAAACAAAAAGCTGAAGCACATGAAGGATATCTTAACTTGTGTATAGCCTCTTGTGAGTTCACAAGTTGGTTTGGAGATCCATCAAAATCAATGTTTAAATGCAAGCATTGAATAAAACATCTTACTCAGCAGTAGGTTGTAATATGAAAGAGGAACAGAAAGTAGTTTAATTTTTCTAAAAGAAGCAAAATGTATTTATTCATGAAATACAAAAAAAATTAAATACTAAAAATGAAGATTAGTTAGTATGGATGTTTAATTATAGTAAATGTAGGAAATTTAGAAACAGTAACTTATAATAAATTGATATGTGTAACTTCTAGGATTTTTTAAACATACTTGTAATGTTTAAAATCCACCTAATTTAAGTATCAACTTGAGAAACATTTACTTCTCTCATTATTAAACAAAGATCAAAATATAATTGTTAGTTGATATTGTTAGTTGTTTTTAAATTGTAAGTTATAAAAATGTTGTCTAAACATGTCTTTCATATTTTACCATTATTGCCAGAATCACTGACCATTGATACAGTTATAAAATCCCACTTCCTTTGTCATACCTTAAAGTTGTCTAGAGAGGCAAGAGTTAACCACAAAAACAAAAGCATGACCTATACTTCCAGCATTTTTTTCTTATTTGTTTCTGAACATTTCAGCCAACATTTCTAGAGCATGTAGCATGCTCATTAAAACTAACAGCTGAAATGCTGAGCAGACAAACAAAAACATTTTTTTGAGATGTAGTTCATACTTTTGTTTTAGTATGAATTCATTATCTCAGTTGTTATTGTAGACTAAGAAATAACCTATTATAAATATTAACTAATAATAATGGGAGGTAAGAAATATGAGAACGTGAAGTAAACATTCAGTAATTAATTGTAATTAGCTGATTTGTGTAATTGCAATAACAAAAGCAAGGAATACTATTTTTATCCAGTTTTTGATGTTGTTGAAACTTCCCCACTTATAATTTCATGGGCTAACAAACATTTGCCATACCATTGTTATAAAGAGTATATTTCAAGTGACCTACAAGCATAATGGTTGTGAAAAATTATTACATCGATAATTTTAGTCTTGCAGTGTTTGGTCTGGTTCTCATTTATGTGTCTTGATAGTGTTTTTATCTACTTCTTTTTGTTTAAACCTTGTATATATATACATTGTGTTTGTATAGTTCATATCAGCAGCTGAATGTAATGGTTTCACATATTGAGGCTGATCTTGCCTTGAAGCTCCCTACACATCAGAAACTGTGTTCAAAAGTAAGACAGATTATTGGAACTCCTCATCCATTCCGGTCCCAGCAAGAAGCCAATTTATATTCAAAAGCAGTTCGGTAAGTAGCTGAAAAGTATTTTGATTTTCCGATTTTTGAATTTATATAATGTACTCAATAATTAAAGCATACTTGGATAGCTTGTTTTTCTTTAAGCATTTGTTTTATGGAGCTTGGTGATTTTACAGAAGAGAATGAAACCTAAAGTTGTTATATGATCAGTATAGAAAGAATAATTCACCACTGCTTCTCAATGTTTTAAGATTATCACAGCACATCCTGATATCTGAAAAAGATCTCTGTGAAGCAGGAAGAAACCTACAGATAAAAATAACCCTAGCACCAGACTGGATTGAGAAGCTGACTAAAGTTGTAAAGCTTGTCCTCACATCTAATGTCAACCTTGAGAAAGGTACTTAAGTTTCTTGCTTACTGTTGTGAATTTTCTATTTTGTTGCTAAATTGCTTTACATTAATGGTCTTTAAAGTTAAAGATACCAGGTGTTGTGCTCTTGGACATGTGATACTGATGTGCAAATACTACAACCAAATTTTACATTAATGTGTAGGTGTTGCTGTGTGGAACGTGTAATGACTCAGGCTACCAATATCCTTAACATTTGAACTAACCACTATATGCTTTTATTAAGTATTTATTCATCATATGGTAACCTTGGTATGACCTAGTAAACTTATATTGCCAGAAAAGTTTCTTTTTTGCATTATTTTTAGGGTAGATAATACTGACAGCTAAAGATGGGTGTTTAACTCAATTAATCATTATAACCAATTACCTATGAGCACTAATTAATGTTACATAAAATAATCAATTAATCAAAATTAAGATTAGAGCAATTAAAGTCACAAAAACAAACAACTAATTGAAACTTGTTTCCAGTTATTTCTGATTGTTTGAACTGTCTATGTAATCACAGTATTGCCATTATAATTTCTCATTATTATTTTAGAGTATTTCATAGTTGTTCAGCTTAATCGACTAGTGTCAAGGCTTATGAAAATAATCAACTAATTGTAATTCATGTTTCTGATTATTATTATTTTTTTTTTATTCTAACTATCCAAGTCTCATGTGAGAATAATCTATTAGTTGAACTTAATTGATTAATAAGCCCAGCAATTAATCAGTTAATAAATTCCACTAATTGGCCAGCTCTGCTGATAGCTTAAACAGCAATTAAACTAAAGAGAATAAGTATTTTGATTTTAAATGATTTTGTAGTGTTCGGAATCTATTGTAGTAAACACTAAAAGGATAAATTATTTTAGCACAAAAATGTTTGGAATCTGTTGAAGCTGAGATGCAAAGTTACAGTGTACTTCCTCTAAAAAACAACAAGGCTTCAACTGAAATAGCTGTAACTATGGAAAAAAGCTCCTATGGAATGGATGATTTTCAAGGAAAAGATATTTCTTCTAGATTGCAGCTACTTCCTCTGTGGGATTTTATTTTTGTGCTTCAAGAAGGAAAGATCTTAAAGCATGTAATACAGTGTTATCATCAAGGTATTGTTGATGTAAGAGACAGATACATCAGTGATATAAAACAGCTATTTCAGTATTGTTGTGGATTAGTATCAGCAGAAAACATAGCTTTGTTGAGTTTTCTAACTGAACAACAGCAAGTACAGGTAAGTTCAAATTCATGGCTTAATTATTTTGTAAGCAAGTTTGTTTTCCTTTTGAAATTATATGTCGATTGGCATTTAGAAATTATACAAGAGGCTCATATATGTATATATGTTGTAATTATTCTTAGAACAAGTTTTAAGGAAACAATCTTTATTTAGATAGGCAAGATGTTTTGATTGCTGGTATGATTATTCTCAAGTATGCAGGTTATAATGGTAAAAAGAATTTCTGTATTTAAATCAAAAATGTAACTGAGTAAACAATGTATTTAAAATATAGAATTAAAGTGATTACTCATGCATATGCATATCAAGTTGCATAGACTGATGGTTTGTTATTTATTTATTTACACAGAAAAAACTAGATGATTATAAATGTGTGGATGATCTTGTGAGAAAAATTTGAGTGAGGTTAGGAATGTCTGGTATAATAATGATGCAAAAAGATGTAAGAGGCATACCTTGGTGTTTGTTGATTGTGGGATTGTTTGAGTTTATTAATAAGGCTTCTCTGATTTTTCTTCTGTTAATTTCAGGTTCATGTTTTAGTACTGTGACACTCTGTTTGGAAAAACATGTGGTTGTCTTGTTCACATATTCTTAGACGTGAGAAGGGGTTTTTGGTGTTCTTCTAATTTAGTGTTCAAATTACACTTTATTTTGTAAATGTTTCATGGAAGTGCGAGTTTGTTACATAATTTTCTTATCATGTGTTTGATGTTTATTCCAGGAGTGAAAATGAATCTAGTTATGTTAAGGTTATATTTATGTGATAATCTTTTTCAAAGTTATGTCAGAGGTTTGCTAATCTTTTCTATAAATAGGATGTTAAACATTAACACCACATATCCCCCCCCCCTCTTCAGGCTTCAACACTAAAAATTTGTAGAAAAATGCATATTGCAGAAAATACATCAACTGGTTTTCTAATTAAGTAAACCATCAGAAACTTAGCACTCAAAAAAGCCTCATAAATTTATCATTTGTTATATGCACCACAGAAAATATGAATGAATAATTTACACAATTCTATGCTTCACTAACACAAACCAATTCTCTATCACAGTTGTTACACAAACTATTAAAAAATTCAAAAAACAATCCACAAAATGTAGAAAACCTAAACATTGGTGCTATGCTATATATATAAAACATTAGCATACATCTAACAGAATCTTGGAAAAGATCAACATACGTATATAACTTAACAAAATGACTAGATTCTTTTCTTTTCTAGAATGGAAATGAAATATATGTTAAGAAATTTATATTACAAATCCTCCCTTCAAGGAAACATTTATAAAATTTACAGTGTAGCTCTTCACATAGCTGAAACAGGACATAATTTGAACACTACATATAAAGAACACTAAAAACCAATTCCCACATCCATTAATATACAAACAAAACAACCACATCTTTTCAAAATAGAATGGCACTGTACTAAAACACAAACCTGAAATGAACCCTTTCGCATCAAGTAGGTCAAAGTGCACATGTCACAATCGTTTACAGGTTACATTCAAAATTCAATTAAACTGCTTTATTATCAATGTATATGAATAAGAATAAACATGGCAAAAAAACATAGTTAATAAATAAAATTTTAACATTACATAAGTTTTAAGTTCTTAATTTTATAAGTAAATATTTAAGAAAATCCTCAATCTCCCATAATATGAGAATTGTGATATTTCCTCTTTAGGTCTTCCCTCTTCTCTAATTTACTTACCACCCCTCTAAGAAGTACAGAATTTAACGTTAATTACTTATTATGATATAGATATTAATAAGGCAAAGTAATTTTTATGGCCTTAAATCTTATTTGTGTACAGAGCCATAAATCAAACCACTTGCCACACATATCTGTCACATCCTCTCTTTCACAAATTGCTAATGATTAATGCTGTATTATTTATAACCAATAGAAAGCTAGTGTTAATCTATCAAATGAAATATTATATTATGCTGTTTTCTGTACAGGGCATTATCTATTTTGTTGTTCAGCTCAAGTATTTAATCACTAGAATCATATTGACGGGCTTAGCTGAATTTTTAATGGCACTTATTGCACAGTTAGAAAGCCAGAAAAATTATGATAGTTATAGGACATAGTTTGCTTTTTGCATGCTATTATTCTGTATGCTTAGATGTTATTTAATGTAGTATTACCATCAGTATAATAAAAAGTAGGCTAAAAGTTTAATTGACAGGCAACAGCAAAAAAAAAACAAGTATTGTATTTCTTGTTTTTCATATGTATTCTTTATTTATCATTATGAAGGTAACTAAAATTAGAAACGTATTAGGTAAGATAATGAAATGATAAGAAGAAGAAAAAAATTCTTCACAGGATATGCTTGCGAGCAGCTCATACATTACATAATTCGATATGGTAACATGAGCTGTATGTTTGCCAAGTGATTTACAACTTGAGTAATGAGATTATTAGTTAGATATGACTCAAAGGTCAATAAAACAATGAAATTAAGTATAAGTAGTTGTAGTTTCCTGTTACAATTTGCAGTTATTCCAGAAAGAAAAATAGGGTGATTTAGATTTATTTCCTAATTTTATATATTGGTTATAAGATTGGTCAAATTGACCAACCCCATAGAGTTATGGTAGAGAAAATAACAGATAAAGTTTTTCTGAAAAATAAAAGTTTCATATTTATTTAAGAGGTCTTAGAGATTACATAAATGAAATTTAGAAATTTTTAGATGATGGAAAGTATTTTTAATCTTAACATGAAAATCATTTTACACTCATGATTTACACTCGGAGCAGTCAAGACACTGATTCTATATATTCATGGAGAAATTTTCATTAAACATTCTGATTTTTTGTCTACAAGATACTTGTAATGTTCACTGAAAGCTTGCCAAATTTTATGTTACGGAATCTATACCTTCATGGTTATAAGATCATAAAAAATACACAAACCTATTGCGAAGAAAAAATAAGTAAAGTTGTATTAAAAATCAAACAATCCCATATTATCAGACATCAAGGCACGAATCTATATCTTTTTGATCATTATTACTTCAGACATTCCTAATTATACCCTAATTTTCCTTATAAGATTTTCCACGTTTAGATTCATTTAGTTTGTTTTTTAATCTATGAAAATAAATAAATAAACTGTCAGTCCACACAAGTTGATATGCATACATGTAAGTAATTGCTATCACATCATTAGTTTAAACACAGTGTTTACTCATTGTTATATTGTTGATTTAAATACCAAAAACTTTCTTTACCATTAACGCTTATGTACTAGAAAATTACCACACTAGTGATTAAAACGTTGTACCTGTCTAAATAAATATTCTTCCTCACAATTTACTGTGAAAGCTGTAAACTATGAAACTACTAATCGATACTAAGCAAACTTAAACAAAGCTATGTATATTCTACTCATTACATTGGAATGTAATTTGGTTAAGCATGTAGACTTTCGTTAAGTTTGGTTCCCTAATTTTTCTGCTTTCTCATATCAGTAACATGGTTATCAAACCATAATAAAACATATTAAAAATTAAAATACTATAGAGTTGAAGCTTCAAATATACATGGAGATGTAAGTTGAATTTTTAGATTACTTAGTCCTTCATTTTATTACAATACATACTTGATTTCTTAAACTTTATACACAATGTTTCTTCCTTTAGCTTTCCAACATAGTGACTCCCTTATATCTTGAGTATTTTTTACACTTGCAAAAACATCAGTGGATTAGAGAGTGTATAAATAGCAATAGGAGACAAGTTACTGAAGAAGAACAAGAGACACTTGTCTGTGAAACAAATATATTGAAAAACTATAAGGTAAGACTCTAAAACAGCAAATATCATGTTAGGATGGAATTACATTATCTGAGTAATGTATTGTAGCTAATCATTTTGCTACTGTTGGAATTCCAGCTGATGGTCTTTGTGATAAATTTTAAAGATTTTTAGTTATGTGAAGAACGTAATAACATTTGCTTTCAACTTATTATTTCTGACATGAAGGAAAGATTTTCTTATTGAGAAAATTATACTTTTTCATGTTTGTATATGTTATTTTTCATCTACCTTTAAAACATATTTTCACAATTTATCAGATTTATTTTACAAATTTTAATCAAGCCATTTTAATTACTTGAAATACATTAGGAACAGAACTATTCATATGATTTCTATTGATAGAATGCTGTGACACACAACACTCCTGTTTTGCTTCTTTCCTATGAAACATTGCTGAAAGACAACAACTTAAACTTTTTGTCCAGTCATACTGTTCTAAATGTTAGTCTTGATTTGTGGGATGAGAAGGAAAAAGAGTTGGCTACAGCTGCTTGTGTTCTTTGGAGAAATGCAGCCACATTGGAAGATATGATTTCTTCTCAAAGGTTCTGTCACCTTTTATTTGTTTATGAATATTGTACTTTCCTTGTTTTATATTATTGCTTCATGACAAATATGGAGATAGCCTTTTAATCAATACCTTATGAAAATGTATTGACTTTGATGGTGAATTGATTTAGTTAATAACTAAAATGGAGTTCAAAAAATTGTTTTTATTGATTGACTTTTTAACATGTAAAAAAGTTATTTTATTGGTCATTTATTCTTTCCATGCTTATCTGAACAGTTTTTTCATTAAACTCTTTTTCAAGATGCTCCAACATTCCAGTCTCATTTAGTCAATAAAAGAACATTTTTTGTTTCAATAGATTGGAGAGTGTTGGTATTATAGAACATTGGTTCCATATACTACTATCAGCATTATGTCAGTATGCTCATATGGCACCCTTTGAATATCTGCCATCACAGGAAGATGTTGATATTTTAAATCAGAACATTGAACTACCACAAGAGTTCTGTGAGCTCATCAAAAAGTCAGCAAGTTCAATAACAAAATTAAAACAAACTAACATGAAAGGTAGGCCTTTTTTCTGCTCTTTTTAAAATAATACACAGAATAATTAACTTACTTTGTAGATGATTAAAAAAAGTTGTAAATTTTTCTTGAAACAAAATGGAAATTGGTAATTCCAAAAAAGGTATTATTTCAATAAAAAAAAGAAATTTTTAAGTCTAAATAGAAATAAATTGAACAATTCTTTTTTTTTTTTCTACTTGCCACTACTGTTATAAAATGTATATTTCTAGTGGTGTCTCAGACATTTTGTGAATAGTGTATTCAGAACA